TTTGTGGGGAGACTTTAGGAATATTCTCTTTTGATGTTTTTTTTCTTGTGTTTGGTTTGTTGGGTTTCTCACTGCTGGCTGTGCTTCTGTACCGCGCCCCAGCGTTTCTTGTGTCTGTGTGCCCGCATGTCTTCTATTTCCGTATTGTTTCCGCGGCTGCGTTTAGCAAGACACAGAGGCAATAATTTGCTACTGGGGAACTGCGGCGGCGTCCTTCTCCCCGGCGATGAAGTCGCGCCTTCACGCGGTGCTGGGGCGTTGCCTGAATACAAAAACATTGCAGCAGGGGGTCGTTGTGAGCGTGATGGAGACCACGACGATGTGATTGTTTGCCGACAGTCGCCGCATTTCCAAAACGATTTTGTCATGGTTTACTGTGTCAAAGGCATGGGCGTGGTCCACAAAGACAGCCAGCGTGCGGTGTTGTGGAGCGTTGCAGTGCATGGCAGCCCTGAGGTGCAGCAATTGGTCGAGGGAGGAATTGTTGGGCCGAAGGCCAGATGGCTGTGGAGACAACTGGGACTCGATGATGTCTCGGCTGCGCGCGGCACGAATACGTTACATGAGCGATCCGAGGCAACTGCTCAGCGCGACAGGTCGGTGTGAGTGGGTGTTTTGATGCCGTTCTCCCCAGAATGGTGGGAAGGGTGTCATGAATCCAAGTCGCCAATTCCGCCGGCCGGCTTCTATACGTAGGCGTATATTGAACAACCGGGGACAGCACGCTTCGCTACACGGCGTAGATGGCGCAGCGACTTTCCATTCATTCTGTCGGCGACAGGCGCCGGTCCGAAGGGCAACAGTCGTAGGATTCGGTTCAGCTCTGCCATGTTCATTGGGCTGAAGTTTCTCGCATTCGTCAGGATCGGTGGCGGCGGGCAGGAATTTGGGTGCCGTGTTGCTTTTGCCGCCCACGGCTTTGTGTGGCCGACGTTCCGGTGTCTGCTGAGCATTGGGCCATCTGCTTTCATGGCTGGCATGCTCAGGGAGCGAGTGGCATACGCACGGCGTACTATCTGCCGGCTGTTACCGTCCGCGGACTCGAGTTTGGAGAGGAGCGTGCGCCAGCGGCTTTTGGGTACTTCGCGCAGCACTTCTCTGTGACGGAGTTTGAGCCGCTGACTGCGTTCTGCATGGGGTGCGGCGGCGATGTCGCAGTCCGGCTCCGCCAGCTCTGGGGTCCAGAGTGGGGGACGACTGGCGGTTTCCTGCCTGGACAGTTGCCTTGGTGGATTTCTGTATTCCGGATGCAATGTGCTTCTCTGTGCCGTTCATTTTGTTTAATTCTTGCGGGATTCTGTCGAATTGTTTGGTATTCCCGCTTTACTTATTCCAATCCGTTTTCTTCCATGTTAATTATTTCCGGTTAGGCCTCGGAACCACTGCGGGTGCGTCGTCTCCGATCAGAGCATCAAGGAGGGTCATGCAGGGATCACTGTCCGGTGAGGGCTGTGCTCCCCAGTGGGCGACGACACAGTCTTCAGGTAGGGCGATGTCGGATGTTAAACTGCCCTGTTGTTCGGTGTACCTCGTGCGCTCTCCGGCGTTTATGAACTGGGGTACATTCTCAATGCACCGCTGCGCAAAGATATCGCCACGGGAGCCTGATGGGATGCTGCGTTCCCAAGCCTCACTGTGTGCGTTGGTGTCTTTGCCCTATTAGTTGTGGCCCGTCCTCGCAGAGCTGCCCATCCGACTCCTCCACCTTCATACTCTTGGCAGAGGAGGGAAGGAGATACGCCGACGACACCGTCAGTTTTATTCTTGTCTCTGGGTGGCTGGTCGCTTGCGCAAGCTCGATGCCGGCGACAAGGGCCGGTCCTGCTCCCGCCCGCAGCCCCTCACGGACGAGAATGGACACGCCGCCGCCTGGACAGATGCAAGCAGTTCCATGGTGCTGGAACCCTGGCGGGCTGGAACCAGTGGCTTCAGGGTGGGGGCATCTTCACACCCAACGCGCGAACAACACGTTTTTGTCATACAACATCACGCTCAGCGCCAAGCGTTTTGCCAGAGTGAGACCCGCGGCGCTTCAGCGTAACTTCTGCAGAAAGGGGCGGGGATTCTCTTCCACATCTCCTTTTAGCACTGACACAGTACGGATGGCAGTGCTGACGGCACGCCAACGCGTGCCTCCAGACCTCGTGATGTTGTAATGTGCCCGACAATACGCGGCTGGCCCGTGCGTTGGTTGCTGCCATCAGCCCTGCGCCAACAAAAACAACAACCCCGTGAGGGAAGCATTGCTCGCTTTCCCTGACAATACGGGGCAATTGACCCAGGCACTACGCCGGTGTGGCCGGTATTGCCAGTGAATATGATGGGAAGGATTGGAGGACAAAACTGTCGGCTTCCATAGCCGGATTTATTCCAGTTTCTTGTGCCCTGAGCCCTACTGCGATTGCTCCATTGCAATCAGGTAGTTTTTCTTGTGGGAGGCCACGGCAATAAATACGCCTGGAATGAGCAGTCGAACGGAGGAGGTGCCGCGAACCACTGCTGGTTGTTGGTGAATTTCACGGAGACAAGCAGGGAAAAGGAGGAATTAAGAAGGTCACCTTGCGAAGACAACCGTCCTTGGAGCTTTGCGCTAAGAACAGCTTAAAAAAAGATCTCTGACACAAATTATTGGCGGCGTAGCCGCTGCTGTTGATGACGCTGAAGGAGGATTGGTGATCCCTGTAAAAACTGTGAGTGTTGGGGAAATCCCGCCCCACCGATTGCGTGCTTGGCAAAGCTTGGGAAATAAATGCTGTCGAGGGCGATATCTGCTGAGGGGTGAAGTGATCCCTTTGTCGTGGTGTGGGAAGGTGGAAATATTTGCATGATCACTGCGTCCGATGGCGGCCAACGGAGGGTGGACGCGTCCAGTGAAAATGGGGAGGCGTGGGCGGAGCCCCTGGGGACACTCAATTGCCCGCCTGTGGGCCAACTGGCATGATGGACAGGGGAAAGGCGTTCTGAGCGGCTTCATCACTGCGGTGATTGGAGAAGGAAATGTTCTGCGCGTTACCCTACCGGTGTGTTATAAAGCGAGCGAAAAGGAAAAGGGTCGGCCTTCTCTCTGGCTGGCGGACAATGTTCACATTGTGGGTATTTGGCTGGCATCCCGTAATGTGTATGCTGCTGCCGCCAGCTCCCTTTTTTACGAAGGTGGTGAAGGCGAGGATGATGATGATGAGTTGATTTTACT